ATTTTCCCCTCCCACATCTTCCTTACAATCTCCTTTATGATGACATTAATTTTTGCAGCCACTGCATAAATTCATCTCATTGAAGGTCTTTCTTTTGCTGATTCTCTCTCTCTCTCACACACACACACACACAGAGCACAGTGACTTTTCCGAGGTTTAGTCTCTATTGACAACATGCCCAAAGTATGGGAGAGATATTTCCCTTCCTTGACTGAAAGGGGCACTCAGGATGCACTTCCTTCCAAAGAGATTTGTATGTTCTTTTAGCAGTTCATAATATATTCAATAAGGTTCACCAACACAAAACTTAAAAGGCATAAATCGTCAATCTTCCTTATGGATTGTCAAATGTTTATATACATAGGAAGCAATTGAAAATTACATGTCATGGATTTGGTTTACCTTACTCGTTAAAGCAATATTTTTGATCTTTTGCTCATTGGAGAGGTCCATGTCAGCATATTTTCCCAATGCAAGTCTTTACAGTTCTTGACTGCTTCAGTCTTGGAGGTTGATTGTTGATCCAAGTAAAATTAAATTCTTGACAACTTCAATCTTTTCTCCATATTTCATGATGTTTCCTATTGTTCCATTATTAAAGATTTTTTTTTCTTCTTGATGTTGAAGTATAACCCTTATTGAAGACTTTTATTTTCAGAAGAAAATACTACAATCTTCTTTAATTTCTTTAATCAAGTTTGTGTCATCTTAACAATGCCAGTTGTTAATGAGTATTTCTCCAATCTTGATGTTACATTTTTCTTCATATACTTCAACTTCTTGAGCTATTGTTTAATTATAATCATCAATCCCAACAAGGGTAGTTTAGACATGCTACTCTTTTCAAATCTTCTACCTCAAGTTCTCTTAAAATTAATGAAGCATTCAGTGCTTTTGTTATATCATTTGTGCAGATGACACAACCCTGCTTCCTGAAACTGAGGAGGACCTGAAGTGCTTGCTGCAGAGGGTCAAGGACTGCAGGCTTCAATATAGATTGAGGCTCAATGTCAAGAATACAAAGATTCTCACTACTGGGCCAAATGGCAACATCAGGATGGATGGTGAAGAGATTGAGATTGTTCACAGCTTTAGTTTGCTTGGCTCCACAGTCAACACTCTTGGCACCAGTAGCCAGGAAACTAAAAGACATATTGTGATGGGAAAGTCTGCTGTTAGGGACCTCTCTAAAGTACTGAAAAGCAATGGTGTCTCTCTGGAGACTAAGGTGCGTCTGATACAGGCCATGGTATTTGCAATCGCTTGTTATGCATCAGAGAGTTGGACAATTACTAAGGAGGATAGAAGGAGAATTGATGCCTTTGAGTTAAGGTGCTGGAGAAGAGTATTGAGAATACCATGGACTGCTAGGAAAACAAACAGATTCATCCTGGAAAGGGTTAAACCGGGTGGCTCCTTGGAGGCAAGGATTCTGAGGCTCTGTCTAACATACTTTGGACATGTTGTGAGGAGGACATGGTCCTTAGAAAGGGACATCATGCTTGGGAGGGTGGAGGGACGGCACAGGACGGGAAGGCCCTCTATGAGGTGGATTGATTCAGTGACTGGGGTAATCGGATGGGTGTGTCAGAGGCAATGAGATTGGCACAGGACAAAGCGGAGTTTAGGGCTGTTGTACATAGGGTCGCTATGAGTCGCAAGGGACTCGACGGCACATAGCAACAACAACAACAATCATTAATGCTATCATTAATAAATTCTCTGGGTAAATCCTCAGTAACCAAGACAAACCTTTAATAATTAGTTGTAACGTAAGTAAATTATGTTAGCAAGTAGACTCATCTATATAAAAGTCTAGATCTCCTACCCATAATTCCTCAGAAATTGACACTGAGCTTCATCTAATTCTAACACAGTGGGGAAATGTGGTGAGCCCTATGAAGATAAATAGGAAATGATTCTTCCCTAGTTATTCCAAGGCACAGAACTCTGACGGTGTACTTGGTAAAGAGTTACGTTACTAAGTAAAAGATGGTACATCGCTGGTGGTTTGAATCCACCAATGGATTAATGGGAAAACTGCTGCTAAGAAGAGAGAAGATTTTAGGCAAATTAGAACATGTGCAAACAATCCAGAGAAGACTGAAAGCTTTATATTTCAATTTCAGAACTATTGTTTATAAGATGAAGGTTAAGTAGGACATCAAGAGAGTATAGGGAAGAGCCATTCAGAACAAAACACAACTTACTATTTTCATTTCTCTACTTCCTCTCTTCTCAAACTTCACGTCTCTTTTCCTCGGTCTAATCTGGTGCCCCCAACCATTCATTTGGTATTCTTTTCAGTCTTATCCCAGGGATTCTATTTATTTCTCGCCTGCTACATAGTTCTGTTTTGGGATACACTTTCTTTAGAAATGCAAGCCTGAATTGTTTTTAGAAGATGCATTGGTGCATTTGGAAAATATATTACATAATTCAGATTTAAATGGAAAGTGGAATTGAATGACATTTGAATGATGAATGTGGAATTGTAGATTGAGAATCATTTGTATTGTAATAAAGATGTATATTTTTTTCCTCCATCATCTTCTAAGTGTTGTGCTATATTTAATCCTCATTGTTGTAAAGTTGGAACTGACTCCTAACTGACTCTCTAGTGAATTTTCAGAGACTGTCAATCATACTAGAGGAGACTATCTTCCTTCTATTAAGAGGCTGAGAAATTTGAATCACAAGAAAGAGGACACTTTTGAGTCACCAGCACAACTCCAAGGGAGTTGCACCAGAGCTCCCCTGTAATTCTATTTTCTTTCTTATTGTTATGTGCAACCTAGTTGAAATAAACTCAGAGCTGACCCTCCAGAGGGTTTTCAGAATCTTATGGTGGACTTGAACTGACTGAGTTAGCAACACAGCTCCCTAACACACTGCCGTCAGAATTCTCTCATAGTACGATGTTGTCGTGTGCTATCAAATCAGAGAGATATACCTATCATTTTTGTTTTATGTACCTAATTACAGATGTGTGGTATTATTCCTATGAAATTAAGGAGTTATGCTTTTGCTTCTAAATCTCCAAAATGTCATGACTTTCAATTTTGCTTGGATCAAATTATTCTCCATACCTTGGATGGCCTTTTCAATTGAAAACATTGTATTCTTTAGTTTGGAAATCTTTTCTTAAATAAATCATTTCTCCTACAGTTTATCCGTGGTTTACTTTTGTACTTTAGTTGTGCATCATACGGACCTGCGTACCTTAGAGCTAGAGCTGACCGTCTAGCGGCAGTTAATTGCACAAGAGGAGATTGCCCATCCTTCTCCGGCAGATCAGCTGGTGTTCTTGGACCGTGTGCCTTAGGAATTGCAGCGCAGCTTCTTGCCACTAGGCCAGTTGTAAACCTTGATTTTTTTTTAAATACTTTCCTATTATTTTACTTTAAATTTTCCCTGTTTTTTCCTTAAATATGTCCCCATTTTATTTCCTTAGTTTATTTTTGCTGATCTTCCTTAGTTTGTTTTTGCTCTTCTGGTTTGTTTTGGGTTTTTTTCCCCTCTATGAATTTAGGATTTCCTGAAGCTCAACTATTGTCTGAGCTTTATTTTGTTTGTAACATCTGTGAATTTTAATCTGTTCACTTTGCAAAAATTAATTCATGGTTTGATGTTTACTATTATTTCTACATGTTCCTTTCCCCCCTCCCCTTTATTTTATGTTTGTATATTTGAGGGGGTTTTGTACTATATTGCTAACCTCTTTCTTTCATACACATGGATTTCTTCAAATGTCTGATGATTACTTCCTATAATGTATGGTTATAAAGAACCAAAAGGTAGATTATGGCAGTTCTCACCAAGACCCATCACCTTGACTCTATGTGAGATGCACTATCCAGACTCATTCTGCATGGATGTATCTCAGTCTATGTGGGCCAGGTAGGTGTCCAGATAGGCAATGCCTGTAGGGAAGTCTACTGTCTGGTACATGGCATTCAGCCTAATGGACAGATGTCCAGTGACAAGACCACTGATGGAGAAGGCTTCTTCACCACCTTCTCCTGGTAAACTGGTGTTGGAAAACAGGTGCTGCAGGCAGTGTTTGTGATCTTGGACCCCACTCTAATTGATGAGAGAGGAAACGGCCCAGATGGACAGCTCTCTTCCATCCAGAGCAGCTTATTACTGTGAAAGAGGATGCTGCTAACATCTATGCTTGTGGTCTCTGTACTACTGGCAAGAAGCTCATTGGCCCAGTTCTGGACCTGATCACAAGCTGTCTGACCAGTGCGCAGGCCTTCAAGGCTTCCTGATGTTCTATATAGCTTTGGAGGGGGCACTTCCTTTGGTTTCATCCCACTCCTCATTGAACGGCTCTCTGTTGATTATGGCAAGAAGTCCAATATGGAGTTCTCCATCTACCCAGCCCCTCAAGTGTCCACAGCCATAGTGGAGGCCTACAACTCCATTCTGATCACCCACACCACCCTGGAGCTCTGTGGTTGTGCTTTCATGGTGACAATGAGGAAATCTATGGCATCTGTTACCACAATGTGAACATTGAGTGTCCAACCTACACAAAGCTCAACCATCAGCCAAATCGTCTGTCTCCTCCATCACTGCTTCCCAGCACTTTGATGGAGCCCTGAATGTAGTTCTGACAGAGTTCCAGACCAGCCTAGTGCTCTATCCTTGTATCTGCTTCCACCTGGCCACCTATGCACCAGTCATTTCTGCAGTGAAGGTTTACCGTGAGCAGTTGTAGGTGGCAGGGATCACTAATGCCTGCTTTGAGCCAGCCAACCAGATGGTGAAGTGTGACACCCACCATGGCAAGGACCTGGACTGCTGCCTGCTCTCCTGTGGAGATGTGGTGCCCAAGGATGTCAGTGCCACCCTTGTTGCCATCAAGACCAATAGCATAGTATTCAGTTATGGGCTGGTGCCCAACAGGCTTCAAGTTTGGTTGCAATTACCAGCCACCCACTGTGGTGTCGGGGTGACCTTGCCAAGGTACAGAGACCTGTCTGCATGCTGAGTAACAGGATCACCATCACTGAGACCTGGGCCAGCCTGGGCCGTAAGTTCAACCTGATGTATGCCAGGAGAGCGTTCCTGCACTGGTATGTGGGTGAGAACATGGAACAGGGTGAGTTTTCTGAGGCCTGAGAGGATGTGGCTTCCTTGGAAAAGGATTAGGAGGAAGTGGTCATCGAATCCTTTGAGGATGAGAATGAGGGAAAAGAACAACAGCTGCCTGGGGTTGGTTCACTATGTTTATTGCAAAATCCTTTCCAAATAAACAGTCTCCTGGCACGGTTTCATGTAGCCTCTGAGTGTTAAGCTTCTTCCGCCTTCCATTTGTGCTTCTGCTGCTGCTGTTGTTGCTACCGTCCTCACCATTTGCTGCTCATGACCTTTTTCTCTTCTGTGGCTGAAGGTGAGCTCTGCAGTGGGGTCCTTGCCAGGCCAGAGAAGTTTAATCCCAAAGGTCTTGCTGTAAGGCCTAGGGGTACCCAGAATAGGGAAGAAATGAGGACAAAGTCCTGGGCTTTCTGTCTAACCACAAGCTACTGAAGGATACAAGTCTTTACTTTTTTTCTAAGTAGGAGTTTTAAGTCCAATGGTTTCTGTAATTTGAAAATTAAAGCTGCAGCCCCTGTTTGCTACTTCTGCATTAACAAACTCGGGAAGCCAAGGTGTAGCCCTGTCTCCTCCATGTGTTTTAAGGGCTTCAGGGTGGGGCTGGCCTGGCCCAGAGTACCAGGCCATGGAACCTAGTCATAAGCTTGGGGGATAGGAAGGAACAAGTGTGATCTCCTGGAGTTGTTTATGCCATTGAGCCTCCCAGAAGCTTTGCACAGCTTACTGCTCTTTGCTGGGGCTTTGGGCTGGTCCATTGAAAAATTAGGTCATCTCCCCTCAAAAAAAAACCCAAACAACAAAAAAAACTCAAAAAAGTAGATTACATGATGTTTCTCTATGTATAAGACAGTGAATTAAGCTGTTAAACCAAAGGTCATGAGCGCCCAGGTATTTGAATCTACTAACACTATATGGAAGAAAAATGGACAATCTCCACCCAGTCTATAGCCTCAGTAAAGGAGGGCTAAACCAACTCATGGCAATGAAGGAGATAGTGTGATAATGTGGGGCTTACTGGCTTTTCAGAGACAGTAGAAAAAACATTAATATTATAATTCAGTTTTAAAATATCCTTCTGTATATTAATATTATAATTAATGGATTGCGGATACAAATTCATGCTGTTGTTGTTATGTGCTCTTGAGTCAACTCCAACTCATAGCAACCCTAAAGTACAACAGCTCTGAACCCTCTCTATCCTGAGCCAATTACATTGTTGTTATTCTTATGTGCCCTCAAATAGACTATGCATAATTCATAGCCACACAGTTGTGAGGTGTCATGGAGTCGAGTACGACCCATAATGACCCTATGGACTAGAGATCTGAATCTTGTCCTTTTCTGTGCCATCCCCTCACTTCCTGACACACTAACACCTACTGCAGTAGTCACCATGTCAATCCACATGTTGCTGTTGTTGTTGTTATGTGCCATCGAGTCGTTTGCGACTCATAGCGACCCTATGTACAACAGCCCTAAACCCTGCTCTATCCTGTGCCTATCGCACTGCCTCTGACACACCCATCCCGATCACCGAAGTCACTGAATCAATCCATCTCATAGAGGGTCGTCCCCTCCTGTGCTGTCCCTCCACCCTACCAAGCATGATGTCCCTCTCCAAGGACCTGCCCCTCCTTGCAACATGACCAAAGTACGCCAGATGAAGCCCCAGAATCTTTGCCTCCAAGAAGTTGCTTGGTTTAACCCTCTCCAGGATGAATCTGTTTGTTTTCTTGGCAGTCCATGGTACATTCAACACTCTTCTCCAGCACCACAGCTCAAACGCATCAATTCTCCTTCTGTCCTCCCTAGTCATTGTCCAACTCTCTGATGCATAACAAGTGATTGCAAAGACCATGGCCTGTATCAGGCGCACCTTAGTCTCCAGAGAGACACCGTTGCTCTTGAATACTTTAGAGAGGTCCCTAACAGCAGGCTTTCCCATCGCAATATGCTTTTTGATTTCCTGACTGCTGGTGCCAAGAGTGTTGACCGTGGAGCCGAGCAAACTGAAGCTGTGAACAATCTCAATCTCTTCGCCATCCATCCTGACGCTACCAATTGGTCCAGTGGTGAGAATCTTTGTCTTCTTAATATTGAGCCTCAGTCCATACTGAAGGCTGCAGTCCTTGACCCTTCGCAGCCAGTGCATGAGGTCCTCCTCAGTTTCAGCAAGCAGGGTTGTGTCATCTGTATAACGCAGTTTGTTAATAGATCTTCCACCAATCCTGATGCCACACTTCTCCTCATAGACCCCAGCCTCCCGGATAATCTGCTCTGAATACAGGTTGAAAAGGTATGGAGAGACTATTCCTTGGAAAGAGACATTTTGTATACTGGTTGCCTAGTGGTAAGGAATGCCAACCCAAAGTCATGCCTTTGTAAACCATCAGCTGTACTGTGGGGGGAAATGTGTGCATTCTCCTTCAATGTAATTACCCACTGGACTATTCACTGTAAGTTAATTCTGCCTGGAGATTATATAGCAAGAATAATAACATGGACAGGTTTAGGGGTTCCCCCCTTTCTTTTGCTTTTTGATCATTATGGCATTATGAACACTTCCCTAATTTGCATCGTTTACTTCAGTGTCGTTTCCAGACATCTGTCTGTTCTTTTTTAATGCAGTGTTTCCGCGTTAAAACAGAATCTGTTTTCGAAACATTAAATGGCAGTAATGAATTTAGAAGAGTCCTCCTGATCCTCTGTTTTGGTTCTCCTGCTCTTTCAGACTGCCTGCCACATGGACCGGCATCCATCCTCTGGGCTCTGGCTTTGGACTCTGGGATAGCAAAACACTGGGATGATGCTGTGTGGCTGCCCGTCGTCTCTGCATGAGTCCTGGGGAAAACTGATTGCAAGGTATCATCTTCTCTTCCTGTGCAGGAAAACTCACTTGTAAGGAGCTAGTGAGGGAAGTCAGCTTCCATCAGTGGATCCTGACAAGGTGCGAGAAATGAGTCACCTGAAGGAAACAGGGGGCAGAGTATTTCAAAAGTGATCTCTAAAGACTGATTATTTCTTGTCCTTGACACCCTGCCAACGGCTAGATACATTGAGCATTTGGGATGTAATGGAGCCTACAAATCACCAGTTGCCTGGAGTCTCCCTCGGCTCACGAGAGGAAAGCACACTTGACTTTAGTTCAGTTTTTATTACATGTTGTAAACTTTTCACTGCTCTGATAGGGCTTGTCATTGATGTGTCAAGATTGGACTCTGACAGGGTGTCTGACCTGATTGAAATCAAGGATGCTCTGTTGGATCTTGTAGAAAATAATGGGAACAGTTCTATCGTAGGACCTTGGGCAATGGAATACATTTCATAATCATATCACTGAAAAAACAAACCCAAAACAAATGCCAAAAAAACAAACTCACAGAGACTTATTTTAAGAGATTTCAATGAGAGTAAAGGGACTTTCTTTGACCCTACGAGATTATCATCTCATTATCAGATATAAGAATTCAGGAACTATAAAGTTATACACATTGCTTTCTAAAAAGACTAACTTTCCCGGTATTTGTCCATCTAATACCTGCAGCTAAATGGAGCTTTTGTTGCTGTTTTACTGAAGTTGATGTAAGTGATTTCTCTAGTACACAAGAGAAATCACAAAAGACTTGTTATCAAATGAAAGATAAGCTCAGCTTTTGTTGTTCTAGTATTCAAAGTACTCACTAGATGATATTTGAAAGTCTTTCTTGACTGTTTCATGAAACAGTTTTGAACAATACCCCCTCACTCCCTAAGAGCACTATCAGGGATAACAGGGGCTTACCCTGCTGAGACAGGATTGGAGAATCAAACTGTTTTTTCGCTTGTTTTTTTTTTTTTTTCATTTCCAAAGCTGTTTCTTATTTATAAAAGCTGGCAAACAGAAAGATAAGGGTATGCTTTATCCATCATAAATCCTAAGCAAAGTATCTGAGCACCCTTGCAAAAGAACAGTTCTAAACAAGCATCAAGTTTATTTTGTAATTTTTCAGTAGGATGGTGTCCACTTGTAAATGAATAGCTGCAGTGCATAACCATATGGTAAAGTTGATATTTTGACAAAGTTAAGTAAACAATCATGTTCTTACCTATGTTTCAAATATTTCCAAAACAAATAAAGAAAACTTCCCTGCTTTTATTTGAACTAAATGACCACATTTTAAAGACTTTCCTGCAAAAAATACTCTAAATATAGGCAGTGAGGGCTTAAATGCAATTACCTTCAAAATTCATTCCTTCCCTCAAGCTTTCTAAGTTTTGCATAAATGTACACACATTTGTGGCTAAGACAGTAGTCAATTCTCTGGTACAAAGTTAACTATGTACTTTAATTATAGTTATATCGTTAGTATTTTTCTTGTCATAAAGTATATTCTTGGAATTAAATATTACCTTACCTTAATCTTGTGGTATTTATGGGTATCTTTCATGAAATTTTAATACCATTTTGCAGAGAACTATATATTATTTTTTGAGTATATGTTTAATATTTGAAGTATTTTTAAATTGTGTCAGAGTTTTGGAGTCATGATTGAAAGTCAGACTTTAGAATCAAAATTGTCAATCTTGGCTCCACTATTTACTAGCTGTATAAATGGAGACATGTCACTTAACCTCTCAGTTTTAGTTTTCTGATGTTTTATATCAAGCTCATGTCAATAGCTCTATTTGA